ATTGTCTGCTCAAATTACTTTATATTTTAGATTTATTTATTATATTGCAATATGAAAAATACTTCACTGTGGTCTTCATAAACGGTTCTGAAGATGATTCATTTTGAACGCTAAAAAATACGTGAAATTTGTTCTGCATATGAGGTAGGTATCATTAGTTGGATGAAAAAAATGCATTTCATTGGATAATCTGATTTATCCAATTAACCACTTCATTCGAGCAGCTAAAATGACGTTTACTACCACTCGAACTTTGAAATAAAACATTATTTTGAGATTTTTCTTTTAGAGCCTCGAGAAAAGTAGCCAACATTTGTGCGTTTCATAAAAAAAATTGAAATTAGTTGGTCCAGTTTTGTGAAATCACGCCAAAACTGCTTGACAAAGTGATCAATTCCCTGCTATAATATATTTTAGCCAAGTTTGTCAAATAGACCTTCGATAGGTGATCATGAAGCACACCATGTTCATCTTCTGCTTCCTCTGGAGCTGTCATGCTACAGCGTAGTCGCTACACACTTAGAAATAACTAATTTTACACGTGACGGAATCCGTCTTTGACATAAAGGATGAGACGTAAACAAACATGTCATGTAATATTAAGTGCTCCGAGACTGAAAAATTCGTTGCTCGACGAAAAGTACGTTTGATTGAGCTATAATTTGCGTCTGTTATGACTCAAATGTATGTCAAAAATGACGCTCGTATATGTCACTCTTAGAGCACCTAAATTTACATGATTTTTCTAAGTGTGTATAAAGGCAGTTGGTTGAAAAAGGCGGACACAGTTTCCAAATGTTTTAAGGTTCTTTTCAAATAGGAAATTGTCTCAATCTAAATTCAATGGTAAATTAATGAAAGGTTCTCAATTCATGACAGTAAAAGAGTTCAACTGAGAAATTAAGTGAGCGATAATGAGGAATAATATGAGTTACAACGCAAACATATATGAGGAATGACGGAAGATAAGATAATTAGAAACTATGCTAAAGATTGTCCCCGAAAAAGTGCACACCCATAAATAACTGTAACTGATACCAAATAACTGGAAATTTTCAGTGAAGAATCGTGTAATTTTTATAATGAAATGAGCGATGTTGTATCCCGAGTTGCATTCAACCGAACCAAATAGCCTCTTTAAAAATATCATCGGTTTGTCATGGAAATTCGTCAGTCATTATTGCTATTTATTTACGGGGCCTACCCAAATTTTCTAGACGTATATTACATTAAAGAATATTATGCAGTTAGTCAGAAATGACACTTCAACATTTCGACTTTTTTTAATAAAAACTCTAAACCCTGCATGAAAATTCAACTCTTTCAAGAACAGCAAAAACAGAGATAATACATACTTTAAAGTTCCATAATCCATGAAAAAATTTAACAAGATTAAAATAATTTACAACAATGTTGCATTTTTTTCCACAACTACAGTAATGACCCGATTTTGTTAGCCTCCTTTTTGAAAATATTTTCTAATGTTCTAAGAAATCCATATGCTTTTTCGGTGGTCTCATTGCACCAAAGTATACCTTCAACATTAACCTTGAAGATCAATGCGAAAAAGTTGGAATTACGTTCAGGTGAAATTATTGAAGGATAAAATTCTGTTGTGTGGAGGAGCTGACAAAATTGGATCATTGTTGATAACTTTTTTATTTCCTGAATCTAGACTTTTTAACTTAATCAGTACTTTCTAATAAATCTTCTCTCAAAATTTTAAATGGTTATAAATATTAAAAGCTGTTTATGTGCGCATTTTTTTTTTGTCAATCGTTATTGCAACACTTTCAACGCTACCTTGATGACTATTTTCATTTCAATAGTTGTTGTAACATGCATTTTTTGTCATAGCCTCTTTAATAAAAAAAAAACTAAAATCAATTTTAAATTAAGCTAAGCTAAGCTTTGACGTAGCATCCATTACGTATGACACGCTTTAAATGGATAGGGGTGATTTACAAATGTGTGACAAGCAATGCATTATTTATAGGAAAAACGTAATGAAAGAGATCCCCCCTCGCCCCCCCCCCCCCGCGGATGATTTCCGCTAAATTTCGAGTGGCGTACTTAATGCATGCTCCTTAATGAATCAATTTTAAATCTCTACATCTACGAAACAGGGGCGACCCCGGCGTAGTGGTTAACATCCAAACCTCTCACGCCAAAGTCACGAGTTCAAATCTCACCCCCGGACAAGTCACGAATGACCCAAGAGTGTTAAAGTGACTGTAATAAAAAAAAAAAAAAAAAAAAAAAAAAAAAAAAAAAAAAAAAAAAAATCTACGAAACACCGTCGATGGATTCATACCTTCTGATTATTGATCCTTCAAAGTATACAGATAGTTATCATAACGTTTTTAGCGTAATTATGCTTGAAATTCAAAGTTAGTTGTAATTAATATAAATCCAACCCTTTTTTACGTGGTTTTATTTTCCTTTTTCCGATGTTCAAATAACGCAGCTGGTGTTAAAAATCAAAGAAAAACAGAAGTTTTCTAATTTCACCCCAGAAAAATTAAATTGTTAAAATGTACCCCTGTAACAACAGGTTTGGTGTTATTAAAGGTTTAAAAGTCACAGACACATGTGCCATTGCCATTCGAAGTGGCACCATTCTCAATAAGCGAAAAATAAATCATTTATTGAAAAGCTGCAGTAAACTTGTATTTTAGCGTCATGCAGTAAACTTGCATTTTACCGTATAGTGATTCAATAAATTGTAATCATCCATATGGTCATACACATCTCAGGAGACTCTATTACAAGCACTTTTTGTTTGTCTCTCAAGAACTTTAATCGATAACACTGCCAACATTCGTTATTTAATATAGTCTTCTTATTGCTGAAGATGTCCTTCACCCTAGATGTGGTAAACTTCTATTATTCTACTATGAACGTATAACCTCTGAAGCCCCATTTAAGTGCAACCTTTATTTCGGAAAAAGAAACTTAGGTTAACATTTCAGTACTCACATATGAGCAGGGCTGGCAAATGTCATTTTCTATGAAAGATCTCACGCAATATTTACAGAGATACTTCTGTTACTATCATTGGATGAGGAAACGACGATAGAGATTTTCTTCAAAATCTCATCGAATTTTTTGTCATGACAGAACGTGACAGTGCTGTGATCATCGTAATTACTAGCTCATTTAATGCTATTAAAGTTACATGTACCGAGGAAATCTTAATAATATATTCACTCTACCGATTACATACGGTTGCTTGCTTAAGTTCATCCAAATCAGTTAGAAATGCTGATGTCAAAACCGCATAAGAATTATTTTCATGAGTGCTTGATCATTGAAAAATGACAAGAAAGCTAATGATAGGTAGTTTCGTCTCGTGATAGTGAGAGGACCTGTTTTCTCATCGTCACATGACGGCCGTGATATTTACCAGCTCTGCATATGAGACGATCTATAAGACAAAAAATTCAAGCACAAAAGACCTGAAATTCATTTAAATCAAGAGTACGTTTCTTCGAATGATATATTTGTCGGATCGAAAAGCAGAGCTCTATATTTACATGACATGTTTGTTTATGTTGTATTATTAAGGTCAAGGATGAATACCGTCACGTGTACAATTAGTTTTTTTTTTCTAAGTGTGTATCTTAATATCAGAATCATCAAAAATAGACAGATACTCAGATAAAAAAACTATTTAACCTTAACGTAAATAATACAACGTAAACAATCATGACATATAAAATTGTAAAATATGAGTTTTCTGCCAAATCTAGCTAACTTTATTACTCAATCTAACAATTCTTTGTCAGAAAACACTTGTTTACACTAAAATCAAGTTTTGCAAAAAATGACAAAAAAAAACAAAAATGTTAATTGTTTTGTAAAATCTCATTCATCACAGCTTTCAATTTTATCTAATTTTAGCAAATCTGGTCTGATATAAACATTTTTCGATCGAAATAAACTTTTTCTAATGGATATTAAATTATACGATGTTTATGATGCGCATCGACTTCGCTGTAAAATTCAATTTGATTTTTGTTTTGCTGTGTTGTACTGATCGCTCATTTCTTATCTTTCATACATACATATAAATATTATCTTGACTGTAGTGATACATTTTTCCGCTTAACACATGAGAATAAATAATAAATCAAAGACAAATGTTTAGGAATGTATATAGTGCTCAAAGAAACGCATTTCACCCAAAAGCTACCATTTAAACCAAATAACGCTGAACTACTGCATCGACAACTGGCTATTAACAACTAACCGAATCTAATGAATCGTCGTGATTGAAACCATATAACCCCACCCGGCAAATGCTCTGCGTTTTCGATCGGTAGTATGGAAACTGATCCGAATGGAAAAATTTATTTACTTTCTGTGTATTATAAATATAATTGATTGTTGCTGATCTATATTAAAAACAGGCGTGTACACAACGGCAAAAGTGCGGCAGCAAGATGCGCTGCTGTTTAATCGAACTTGCTTTTTACTTGTTTTCACGTGGCCCCAGGCCAGTTTGATCACTCTTCTGCGTCAGTGTGCACAGTTACAGTAAAGCTATTTGGTCTCTGTCGAGTTGATTTGTGTGTTGTAAAATAAATTAGCCACTGGAAAATGATATAAATCGATTTATTGATGGTATTCCGCCATGCGAAAAATGAACCCAACCGCGGCGGATAATTAATTGCAATCTCATGTCAGGGTGTTGAACCTAACGAGACCGATATCAAATATGTTGTCTATTTCCAATTTCCATAAACTGAGATTTTAACAGAACTAAACGTAATCACGTGCAACGGATACAAACTGAAAACTGTTCGATTAATTTATGAACCTGTGACACAGTGCACATGAGGCGAATGCCGACGGCATTTTAGAATCCTTGTGAACGTATGACTCAAAGCCACAAACTTGTAGATTTGTTATGTAATGTTTATTAACAATTATTTTGCTGAATTATCTTCCTTGGTTGATATTATTTTATGATTAATTATGAACTATAATGTATTCACCTTCATCATTATTTGATTCATCCTTCACTCTTGAGTATCCAACAGAGTCGACCTGAATCATTTCTCAGCACTGTCCAGTTTGACACAAACGTTGATATTTTAGCGATATATCACCTTTGTCAGCATTATCAACGAACTTGTATATCACTTGTAGTGTGTTTAAAACGATATATTGCACAAATTTGTTTCGTTTATGATTACCACGGTTATCACTATTGCATGCGTCGTGTAATCGGTTAAAGGGGTTCTTCATTACAAACACTACACGAGGATCCAAATATTTGTTGTCAACATATTTTCATGATTTATCATTGGAAACTCTTCGGATCACTCTCAGCGTGTCACTCTGGCTGACGTTCCAGTGCAAACTACCAATGCCATCCGTGTGCTCGGTGAATAATTGTTTTTTTTTTTGTACGCTGGTAAAAAAATCACTCGCTTACGTTTGCGGTTTTCGACCGCATCATTCAACAATCAACGCGGTACTACTGATTAAAACTATATGCTAAGCGAGCCATTCGGTCGATAAGTCAAAATCGATTGAATTCGAGACGGAGAGATACATAGAGCTAGATAGACAGAGAGAGCGCGCGAGCATACACCCGGGTGTGTATGATGGACGAGCCGATAAAAACACAAATAATTTTACACTTCACTCTGACACTGCGTTCGAGGATCAAATCTCGGTCGAGAAAGCAATTCTCTTTGCTTTTTTTTTCTGCTCGCTCTTGGTATTGTTTTTCTTCTATGATACAAGAGGGCGAAAAATCTCTCGTGTATCATAAACCGCTCTCCCGCTACAAAATACGCTAACTGGGCTCCTCGTAGCAGAGATCGCGTTTCCGTAAACTACAAAACATTACTAAACAAACTTCCACATAATATTGACAAAGGAACCAATTACTTGTACGACGACAGCGCTGAGACTGGTCTGACCACTGAACCAACACCAGCCTGAACGTGAATCTCGTGTCGGAATATGCTTCATCCCCACCCTATTCTAGCATCATCCCCACCACCAGATTCGACACACTCGAGCCATCGTAACACACAAGAACATGTACCAATACTATTTTACTTTCCCACACATAACCAACCACCCATCTATGGTAGTGGGACCTATGCTGAATGCACAACGAAGAGCGAGGAAATCCCTCTCAAACGGAATGCGACCAGCAACAGAAACTAAGTATTTTCCGCAACACACCATCAGAGCTCGGAAAACTCTCGAGCTATCTGTCTGTCTGTCTGTTTGCATGGCTTGGAACTCAGTGTGGTGCTTCTGCAACGGTGTGCACGGCGATAGAACATACACGAATCATAATATTTATTGAAACCTCGTAGTTCTTCTTTTGCTCGCCTATCTTTCATAAAGCATAAACATAAATATAATCAAGGAATTGGACATACCGTGGCCTCCTGATGTTGGAAAGGATAGATATGTGGTGGCATTGGGCAGAAAAAGACAACACATTGCCCGCGATGGTTTGTAAGGAAGATCCAAAGACGGAGAAGGTGCACCAATACTATGTTTTGGATTCCAATTTCATATACTTGACGCGGCCGTGTGTGCGATTGTATGAAACGTCGTGAAAGAGGGATAGAAGGAAAAATATCATAAACAATTTATTATTATGACAGAAAGGTGGAGTCATTTTGATAATTTCGTTATATTATTAATAAACAGATCGGAAAAGGAGGACCTTCAAGGTCTGACTATGTATTTGTGAACTGTATAAAATGTGTGCGTTATTGGGGTGACTGATATCGAAGTGGCTTTTCAAGGGGTGGTTGGTGGTGTTATTTTGATATGTTCCGTTGCAATAAGTGTGGTTGACTGTGTTTTGTATGAATAAACGTACATGTTATTGTTTATACTATCAATAAAGTTCACTTTTATGGAGCTCTAATTCAACAAAATTTATAATGATGAATAATATATGATAAACAATACAAATGGCTTAAAGATGACACACCAGTAGTACGTCAGCTAGGAGGAGATAATAATAGTGATTTATTTGAAGATTGTATAATATGAACTATTCCTCCTTCGCTTTGATGCACAATAAATAGGATTGATGTCCAATAAATACCATTGCATTGTAAGTTTCATCTCATATGTTTTTTTTTTTCCTATAGTTAGAAAAAAAAACACCTTCATTTATTGGCATATAAACTGGACAACGATGTTTTCCAACATTAATTAGTTGTTCACGATTAGAAATAATGCTTGAAAAACAATACATGTGGACAATAAAATACCTTATGAAATAGACGAATTCAATTAAATATGTGTTACTACTTCTCTGTGCTATTTCTCTGACATTCAACGCATGGTAAACAATTGAAATGCATGATGAATATCATACTTTCAAACGTATTAAATGTTACTCATCTCACATCAGTTTATAGTTTGAACTTTTTCTTCGTAGTATATTAAATTGTTTAAAAAAGCCTCATTATTTGACTGATTTTGCATGCAATAAGGGAAATTAAAGGGAAAAGGGTGCGAAAAACTTTTTTTTTTAATTCAAAAGGAGTATTTTTTGTTCAATGTTTTCACTATGTTCCACATGGTAAGTTGAAAGGAATGAATACATTTTCATGAAAACAATTTCAGTTTTATGGGAGCTGCACCTATTTTTCCAAGCTCCTATTTTGACCATGTTTTTACACTATTTTCCGTTGTTTAAAGGTGAAGATCTTTAGACTGATAATGGTTTTTTTTAAAGATATTCTGCGTCCCCTTGCGTTTTAGCTGTCTTCAGTAAAAATCTAATTTACTTACAACAATTGTTGAAAGGTTCGAGCGACAGATTATAGGTATGTAGTATATGAAGTCGGTATGAATGAGCTGGTAGTTTTAAATTGCGTTAAAGTTGTGTTGAGCCACAAAATGCACACACTTGTTGAGCCACATAATGCACACGCACGCACAGCATTTCATTTGTTTGCTGAGATTCAACTAAGCATTATCCGAGACTCAGCAATCAAAAGTCACTTTTGCTGAGATCTCAGTAAAACTTATTTTGCCGAGATTTGCACCGCCGAACTAAGTGCAATTTTTCGCTACAGTTATTGATTATTAGTTGTGTTGAAATAAATGTTACAAATAAAAAGAGGGTGGGATTAATAGAAGTACCGTTACAGGCTACCATTACAGGTAACTATCTAGTGGGAGTAATACAAGTACCGTTACAGGCTGCAGTATGAAGATTGATCTTTGGTTGAGATTTCTTTATATTTGCGGAACAAAATATCGCTTTAAAAAAAACCGTTCGGTATTCGGTGCATTACGTTAAACCTAATCTACATTTGAAACGTTTCACATATATATTAAATCAGTATGGATATGTGTTTGAAATAAGGAATTGAATTAAACGAGTTAAACGAAACTCGAAATTCGTAACATTGCTGTAACTTTTTTGATTCTGGACGAATTAGAACTAATCCAACGTGAACTGACTCGAATTCTAATATTTACACTAGTAGTTACTATTATGTTTAAGATATATTTTAAATTTAACAGTCATACTGCCGAGCCTTCAAAATCCGTACTGTGTTACTGCACACCCATCCCGTTGGTAAGAAGGGAGCTTGTTCACAGCATCGCCACGGAGTATGCAGGCTCGGTAGTATGTGTCAAAAGATAAAACTGTTTTACAACATTTTTTTCATAACTGGTTAAAACCTGTTTATTTCTTAGCAGAAGTTCATAATTTTGCAGATTGGTAATGAAATATTAAACAGAATGCAAAAACATGTTTTTCTTATTTTTGTGTGTCCTTATAACTCGGATGGAGTATGCTGGCCCTCAAATTTGCTTTAATTAATAGCGTTCTAAATATGTTTCAAAGCCTGTACAATTTTTGGATTAGTATTATTTTACAAGGGAAGACGATAAATTTTTAAACCAAATTTTTTTAGACCGGACAAGGAATCGAACCCAGACGCTTTCAGCATGGCCTTGCTATAATCAGTAACTTCGCCGAAGACAGCATCTAAATGCTTTGTTTTGTCCCACTAGATTGCATTCGTAGCCCACTGTGCACTGTCTAATTGGCTTCATGGTCTATATTTTAAAATGTTTTACCTACACTATTAATTATTTTTCGGATGATTGTGGAGCATTTGACATGAGCTATGCAAATATTGAAATTCGTGAATAGGTTATAAGTCTATTATCGTGTATTGCCAAAATCTCACTCACTGTGTTGAAAACGAACTAAAATAGAATTGGAGTTGAACAAAAACATTTTAAATCAATTTGATATACCTACTTGGGTTTATAACAGCTCTGCTGGGATTTGAGCTATTAGCAAGCTGGAGGCGGTGGGTTCGATTCGCAGTCCGGTCTGGAAAATCTCTGGGTTCGATTCGCAGTCTGGTCTGGAAAATCGGCAGGAGTGTAATAGCATCATAGCCAGGAAGAAGAATAGGGTTTGCATTGGGAAATTTTGAGAATTCCCAAACAACCAGAAAGCACGTACACTGGAGTCGCTTTTTACGCGGTTTTTTTTTTACGCATTTTTTTTTTTACACGGTTTTTTTACCGCGGCTAGTGCCGCTGAGTCGCAATTTACGCGATACGTTTTTAACGATTTCTCGACAACGATACGACCTATCGACTTGATTCCAATCACATTGTCCGTTTTAAACTATAGGTAATCGAATGGCATACTTTTAAAAAAATCAAAATTTTCGGTGTAAATACAGAATTTTTTTAAATATGTCTATATGGACCATAGCATGCTATAATAACGAATGGCATCAAAATCCGATTTATAAAAAATATTTAAGCATGTGAAAAATCAAAATTTCGGTAGTTTTTTTTACGCGGCACGTATCCCCCGCGTAAAAAGCAACTCCAGTTTATATTCAAAGTTGTTTTCGTGATATACAAACATATATACAAACAAACAATTCGTATAGAATGCAAAGAAATGGCTTATACGTACAAAAGTGGAGGCCATATACGTGCATATTATAATTTAACTTTATACGAGTTGATTTAATATCATATACGATTTAATCTGTAATAACAAATTCATTTTGAAAAGTCTTACGATGTGGGGGGCGACCCCGGCGTAGTGGTTAACATCCTTACCTCTCACGCTAAAGTCACGAGTTCAAATCTCACCCCCGGACAAGTCACGAATGACCCAAGAGTGTTAAAGTGACTATAATGAATTGAAAAAAAAATTCTTACGATGTAATCCGATTTAATTTATGATACAGTACGACGGAAAAAATGAGTCATCGCATATAGGTCGGAAATTTGCATTATATACGATTTCACTTAAACATAATGCGAGGTATGGATTCTATAACATTCCCCAGAAAACAATTCCCCCGAAAACCATTCCCCAGAAAACCATTCCCCAGAATCTCATTCCCCAGAATGCACCATTCCCCAGAATCTCATTCCCCAGAATGCACCATTCCCCAGAAAAGCACTCCCCAGAATGTACCATTCCCCAGAAAACCATTCCCCAGAATGTACAATTCTCCAGAAAAGTATGCCATGTATTAGATGTCAATATTTTTATTTATTATAGAATCTTCCTTCGCGTATATAAAAAGAAGAGAAAAACTTCTTAATGGATCAAGGGGTTTTAGGAGACCTTCTTCAAGTGGCGGCGATGGTGTAGTGGTAAGCGTGATTGCTTCTCACCCCAGCAGGCCTGGGTTCAATCCCAGTCAGCGCCGCCGGGATGTTCTGAGGCATAACATCTCTGATCACGCCTTCCTTCGGATGGGAAGTAAAGCCGTTGGACCCCGGTTCATGAGTTGATGGGTATGCCTCTCTGGCGTCGGTAGCATTGGTGCTCAGCACGGAAAACAAGATCAACGGAAAACAAATCAAAGACAAAAAAAGGAGACCTTCTTTGAAAATATAAGAAAAGGA